CGTTGATCCATCTTTCAGATTTCTCTATAAAAGGAAGCTTTCAGGTCAAGAGAACATCATCGAGTTTAAAGCAATCAAATTTAGAGCCATCAAACTTTCCAGCCTACAGCTTCCCAACGTGTTTTCTTTTGTGATTTCTTTCAGTGTGCTTCCTTTTATAAATTATTGTGTAATGTATCCATATATATATGTCCTATGAAATAAATCATCCAGTTTGCTCTTATTCAAAAATTCATTTTTCTTAGTTAGTATTTTCAGTACTTTCGGGCAAAAGATTTATGTCAACAAAAGATCAAATATATAGATTTTATTTAACCAAATAATGTGGTTCCTAGAATTTTTTTTGAATCCAACCAGTACCAGCAGCTTTAGTTTTAATTTAACAATTTCTTCTGTGAATTAACTTGAACTGTTAGCTTGTTGGCCAGTCTTTGCCGGTGTTCAGGCGTTTTTTACATGGCGTTATTAGAGCGTTATCAGGTTCGGCAATCATTTCTATGATTTAATTGTTAATTTTATCTCTATATTATTTGCATGTTTCTATCTAGTTCGATTGAATTTAATTTTGGTATCAGAGCCATACTGTTTCGTTAAATTTAATTTATATATAAGATCTTTTGTCTAAAGAAGTCTATAAGTCCATATTAAACTATTGTGAAATTTTAAAAAATATTTTAAATATATATATATATATATATATATATATATATATATTATATAGTTTGTTCAAGGATCTTTTAGTAAGTTTATTTCAATGTTCTAAGTTTTTTATGATATAATAGTAGTTGTTTTGGGTCATTATAGTAATATAGTTTGTTCTGTGATAAAAAATCTGCAGCCACAGCCATATATGCTGCCTTAATGTCACGGGCCTAGAGATTTGGCGTAGCGGCACGGCCCGTGTGGCACCAAGGCGTTGCTTCAGCTCGCGTAAGTGCCCTAGTTAGCCACCACGACCTGCCCTCCCAAGGATACATGCTGACTGGTTTCGGCCTGCCTTGGCCTCGTCAGGGGAACGGCTCTAGTTCCCTACCAGTTTGTGCAGGGATGGCCAACTCACTTCTTCATAGTCAAGTCCACGACTAGCGACAAGCACCTCGAACTAAACCGAGTGGACCTGCCTGAACTCTGAAGAGGTACCATCTTGTGCTCCTGCACGCCCCTTCCCTGGAACCATTCCCAGTCAAAATCTGCTCTTTGCCAACCAGTATGCTTGTCTTCCCTCCTCCAAGCGTCTTAGGAATCACTTCATGACACTCTCCCCCACCCAACCTGCGACGCCCTTGTCGCAGTGCGGCGCTTCACTACTGCGTCCACTCCCTTCCAAAGTCTGCCTCCAAGTGGTATGCTCGCCTTCCCACCATTGCTTCCTTGTGCAGCTCCCTGCACTGCACTCGCCGAATGATAAGCCTTGGACTAAGGGGACATCCACTCCTCAAGGACGTGACTCTTCTCTGTTATGCCGCCTCCGCGACATCCCGAGCAAGCAAGGGCCTCCTGTCGACTTGATGCTCGCCCTTTACCATGGTTTGCATTACCTAAGGACTAAGCACGAACTTTGGGGCGCGCGGCCCTCCGGTCCTCCAGTGCGCAACTTCAACGAACGCCTCTTTCTGGGGAGATGGAGGCTATCCCCTCAACTGCATTGATTCCTCCTCATCAACGCAACTCCAGTGCACCGTCTTCATTCTCTGACCCTTCCCAGACCGACAAGGGGGCACCCCACCGTGCTTTACCCTAAGTCCTACTCTGATACCATTTGTCACGGGTTTAGAGATTTGGCGCAGCGGTACGGCCTGTGCGGCACCAAGGCGTTGCTTCAGCTCGCGCAAGCGCTCTAGTCAGCCACCACGACCTGCCCTCCCAAGGATACATGCTGACTGGTTTCGGCCTGCCTTGGCCTCGTCAGGGGAACGGCTCTAGCTCCTGACCAGTTTGTGCAGGGATGGCCAACTCCCTTCTTCATAGTCAAGTCCACGACTAGCGACAAGCACCTCAACTGAACTGAGTGGACCTGCCTAAACTCTGAAGATGTACCATCTTATGCTCCTGCACGCTCCTTCCCTGGAACCATTCCCAGTTAAACTCTGCTCTTTGCCAACCAGCATGTTTGTCTTCCCTCCTCCAAGCGTCTTAGGAATCACTTCGTGACATTAAGCTTTTCAAATAAAGGGTCAGACTGTGTCCCGTTCGCCAGAGATGTTTCCCCGATTTTATCATCCAACTCTTTCAAGGCGCGAAGCTTATTATCAAAATTTCCTCCAAGCTCAAAATACATTACATTAGATACACTCTTCCCCTTTTTTGGCTCTTCTGGAATCCCTTCCAAATCTTGAAGTAGATATTCCAATTCTTTGATATTCTTGGAATTCTTCAAGTAACGGAGAACGCCAACAATTTTACACATCCCACAAATATTATCCAAGAGCCTAAAATAGCCATCTGCGACTGACTCCCTCCAAATACAGTGACGTAATTGAACAAATACGAATGCATTTCATTGAGGTCACGGGGGCTGCATCGGCATAAGAACAACCTCACAAGTTTAGTATGAAATAACCTTCTATTCGAACTATTACTAGTAGATGCCGGGTCCGCTATAAAATGGACCATGAAAGTACTCCAAGCATGATTGACAGAAACTAAGCTGCAACTTGCTTGATCTATAATATACTAACCCCCAGCGCCAGATTCCACGTAAAACTCAGAAGCACTCCCCAGCAGTGACGGAGCCAGGATTTCAAGTGAGGGGGGGCACACTGCCAAAAAAAAATAAAAATAATACGGAGTACATATATATATATATATATATATATATATATATATATATAACAACTATAAAATTTAAAAAGACAAAGAAGAAGAAAATTATTAAAATATAAAAGGAAAATAAAAATGAAAAAACTTTAATAGGAAATAGTTAAAAAGTTTTAATTGAGGAAGAAAAATTTGACTTTTTCTATTAAGGAAATTTAAGGAATGTGAAGGGTAAAAGAGAAAATAAAGAAAAAATAAGAATATAATTTTAGAAATTACAAATTTGAGGGAGGCACTATATAAATTTTGTCATATATATGGAATTTTTTTTTAAAATTATCACATATATTATAGGTTGCTGGCCAATTCAGGTGGGACACGTGCCCCCTAGGTCTTCATTGGCTCCGTTCCAGCTCCCCAATAGTGTCTGTAATGGGCAAAAACATTTTTACAATTATAATAGTAGTTGGTAAATCAAATATTGAAGAATAGTGAAAGAGAGAAGGATTTAACATGTGAAAGACACTCACTCATCTAAACGAACAAAGAATGCTTATTGCTTTCAACTTAAACACTTGAATGGAAATCAATTGGACAACAAGAGTAGTTAATTACCTTTGCTAGCATATACTGAGCAGTAACATTTCCTGCCTGAGAACATTTGTTTAGTAGGCCATTAATGTACTCGAATATTTCATAGCGATTTGGTAGCTTTACATTGCTAAAATTGACGGCTCTTAAAACATCATTATCTCCAGTAATGTTCATGAAAGCTCTGCAACTGCAGTAAAAAGGTTCTCAGGACAACAATGACTTCTTTTGACAACAAACCTGATGTCAACATTGTACCGTAACAAAAGAAAAATAAAAGAAGTCAACGCTATCAATGTCAGAACCTATCCCACCTTAGCCTGAAAGTGACACAATCAACCCAAACTCGGGCCAACATAGAGCTTCGTAATCTTGGGCAATGAACCCAACCAAGCGTTAACTTTTCAGCCATAATGGGACGGGTTTCAGCGAAAGCAACGTCTAGTCGGGTCAATAATTTTGGAATTCATGAAAATGGATGAGATATTTTTACATGATCTGGGACTATATGATCCTTGTCCATCATAACTTAACATATAAGTAAATGTATTAATTTTATTCAGAATTTTGTTTACATGTCATTTTGTGACTGATCGAGATCATGTAACAATTTCTCAAAATGCACACACCAAAGATCACTGTATGAGCAAGTGTGTAGTCACAACGACGTAGGCATAGTACAACAGGTATATTATATTCCTTGGATCAGTTTATCTTAGGTCTTATCTCAACCAGACTCGCCCTAAGTTGTTAGGTTCAAAACTTACAGTCAACATAAAAGCATCCGCTGGCATGTTCGTACATATGAAAACCCAATCAAAAATCATATGGAGTAAGTGGGGTTTTATCTTGACCAATCCTAGTACGACCATTATTAATAAGACAAAACAACCCATTAAAGCAAAGTCTTACACAAACAACTGGTTGAGTAGTTGGTGTAAGGAGACTGGGAATTTCATCTTAGAGGGAAAAAGAAGGAAGCAAGTCTTACACTGATATTGCCCTGGCCAAATCCACAGCCCCTTTAGATGATTTTGCCAGCAAAATCATAATTATTTTCAACACGTCAGGGTGCAAATCAGTGATTGCCATCTTGTTCGTCTTCATTGGTTATGGAACTGCTGAAACAAATCCATAAATGGTCATGAATGACAGAAAATATCAGAAAAAGAAAATCATAGAAGTGTTGAATAATTAAAACAGCATATAAAGGCTACAAATATATTTGAAATTCCAAGTATTTGTGAAAAAACAACTCAACAAAACCTTATTCTAACTACTTGGAATCCAATATGAATTTTGGTAGAAAACAAGTAACCCAAATGATGCTAAGCTTTTTTATAGAATCACACATGATCTGGAGGGATGTTTAGGGCCTGTTTGTTATGTGTTTTACTTTGGTGTTTTTGTTGCAGGGCTTCATTTTAGGCCCAAAAACATATTTGGTGACACTTATTTTGTTTTAAACAGTACAAAAATATTGTTTTAAACAGTGCTGAATTTGGGTCCAAAAGTGAAACACCAAAATGGTGTTTTTGGTTGTTTCAGTACTGTAGCCCAATAAAAAACACTGTAGCGGATGAAGTAAGTTGGTCCAATACTATAGCGGATGAAGTAGCCTTAAAACGGATTTGCAACATTTTGGCCCGATGTTTTCTCTCTCCTCTGCAACCCTAGAGAAGCGATTTGGGAGGCGATTTGGGAGGCGACAAAAAGGAATCGCGATATACGGTGAGTACTGTCTTCTATTTCCCTTTCTTTGTTGTTTCCTTTAATATTGTTTCCAAATCTGCAAGCACGAAGTCCAAATCTGTAAAGAAAATCTGTACGTATATAGTCACAAAGACGAATTTCTTTCGACTCTCTCTCTCTTTCTCTCTCTGGTATAAAAATTTCGAATCGGTCTCGCAATCACCGATTTTCGTGCCGGACATCAAATCGGTGATGCTCGATAGCCGATTGTCGAAGCTCTGGAAGATCATGATCATGTCCTCCGCCACATCTTTCGATGTGTTGAGACTCTTCACTATCTGCTGAGCAGTGGCCATAACCCTATCCTGACCTTTTATAGTCGCCGCCATAACCAAGCTCTGTGTATATAGATGTGTGTATATAGATGTATATGTGTGTGTATTTATGGATTTTGTGTATATATTAGGGTTTGGGGGAGGAAGGGGAAAGGACGGACTGACCTTTTGATGTGGTTGAAAAGTTCAAACGCTTGGGGTTTTCTCCATTGCTTCGGTGCGTGTAGCTGAATCTCAGTTTCTGTCTCCTCTTTTTGTTTTTTTTTTTTTTTTTTTTTTTTTTTTTTTTTTTTTTTTTTCTCTCTCTCTCTCTATCTAGAAGTAGTGAACTGTTTGGCCGGCGACTTGTGAGCATTTACCCAAAAAGTGAGTAACGTAATTTATGGCTTGGGTTATGTATGAACAACCAATTAGGTTTTTTTTGTTGGTATGTCAATGTAAGAAAAATGTTAGATTATATTGATTACCAAACAAGAGTTGAAGGAAGGAACAGGGAAAGGAAATGAGGTAACGTCTCGGTTTGAAATCGAGAATTCTTAAAATACTGAATTTTACATAATGAAATGGATTAATTCTAAAAATACATCAATACTGAATTGGTAAAAATATATTTTTAACGATTTTTCATTAAAACATGTACCATAAGTAATGACTTATTCTTTATTTTGTGATGATGTTACTAAAAAAAAAAAAAAATGTTCAGTAATCACATGTTTTACTAAATTAATGAGCAAGATTATATATTTAAGTGTGTAATAAATTAAAATTCATACCATATATAACATATGAGAATTAAAAATAAAAAATAAATTAAAAAGTAATAATCTAATACCAGTCCAATATACCAAGACAATTACAATACATGTAAGTAAATATGCAAACAGATAATATTTTTAAATTAATGAACAAGATTATATATTTAAGTGTGTAATAAATAAAAATTCATATCACATATAATATATGAGAATTAGAAATTTAAAAGAAAAAAATCTAACACAAGTCCAAAATACGAAGACATTATATGCGAACAGATAATATTTTTAAATAAATAAAATAATTATGCAAAAAGCTTATAAAAAGATGATGTGGTATGGTGGTCAAAGCTCTAATTAACCCTTTAAATACTTCTAAAGTGAAAGCTTTAATTCTTGCATGTATAGCGGTGACAGCCGATAATTGATATGAGAGTGTTCACACCATCCCTAGTTTGGACTTGTGGATTGTTTGGTTACTGTCAATGTCTTCTTTTAACTTGCACCTACCAAAGAAGAATGATGGGGTGGAAAAGGGAAAGGAAATGGGGAAGAATGGAACAATTTCTCACTTGTTTGGAACCGGATAATTGAAGGTTAAGAAAAGTACAAGGGGGTTGAGTGTTTTTCCATCATTTGGTAGGGGGAATAATGATTAAAGAATGGAATTTTAAGTTAACAATTCAATTTACTTAAGTGAGACACCGAATTTTATCATATAATATTATCATAATATCATGTGATGAGACTTATCGTAAAATTGATTGAGAGATGTCAGTTTGAGATTGAAACTTATAGAGATTTGAGAGCTTTTGTGTGATTTAGAGATCACTCAGGTTCTCTCTCTCTCTTTAAGGGACATTCAATTGTTAAAGGAGCAGAAAGTCTTCTGGCGGCATTGGGACAGAATAGTGCAGCATATTGTGAGAAAAAATGGGAAAAATAGCGTCTTTATGTGGGGGTAGTTGGAGTTTGATCAACATTAGGAGAGAAAAGGGCGCTGGTGAGAACTGATGCGAGATTGTAGGGGGGAGAGAAGTACCGGAACGACCTCGTTTTTACCTCATTAGGTTATTTCATAATACAAAACACGGGCGCCAATGTATAAAAAATTAGGATAGAGATAAGGCGGTACTGTAAAACTGGACGAATTATCCAATTTATCATTATATGTTGTAATACCCCTGATTTAACAAGGATAATTCTGAAATTTATTTAATTATTTAACTTGTGTTTTATTGATTTTAGTTGTGAATTTGTTGATTAAGTGTGACTTTATTTGTTTTTATTTATTTCGTGGTGGTTTGTTAACAAGGATAATTCTGAAATTTATTTAATTATTTAACTTGTGTTTTATTGGTTTTAGTTGTGAATTTGTTGATTAAGTGTGAATTTATTTGTTTTATTTATTTCGTGGTGGTTTGTGAATTAATTAATTAGTTTTTATTTATTTAGTGGTGGTTTATGAATTAATTAATTAGTTATTAAATTGTATTTTATTTTCTGTTTTACGTTAACTTGGAATTTTATTGGTTATTTAATTGAATTAATAATTAAATGTTTTAATTAATGACTAGGTATAAAGGTGTGGTTAGGGTTTAAGTTCTGTTTAGGTTTAATGTAATGAGCCGACAGGGTTTATAAACTAGGTTGTGTTTATGGGCCGAGTTGCAGACTTTGGATATAATTAGACTTAGGTTTTTGGTTGCCTATAAATATGTAAGATAAGTCTGCTTAGGGTTTTAAGAAAAGTAAAACCTATACCCGTTGTGGAGACAGAAGAAACAGAGAGGAGAAAAACCAACGGGGCGCCGGGAAAACTTAGAAGAAAGACGTTGAGATTTCTGAACCGAGTCTCACAGGCAAGTTTTATAACTAGCTCTACCTCTTTGACCTGTGTTCTTTGCATCCTTAACACAATCTCAGGATGAAATAAGGATTAAAATAAATCTGGTTCGCATGCTTGCATTGTTGAATAAGCATATGTTTATGAACTGTTAAAGTGTTCGTTTTACAGTGTGTTCGTTTTACTGTTTTGTTTTACTTAATTCATGATTTTAATGGTTTCAATTGAAGGATTAAGAGTCTTATTAGTTCTAAAACATATTGGGAAATCTTAAAATTAATTCGGATCGCAAGGCTAAATACTTGAAACAGTATATGTTCTTGTACGGGTTTTAATCCGTTTTTAAACTGTTTTTGCTTGATTCTTGTTCCATATGATTTGGTTAATAAGTTATGAATTTAATTAACTTTGGAACACCCTAAGACTTAGTTTTAATCTGTAATAAACTTAGTTGGAGGAATACAGATGCCGGACACCGCCGGAACTGGAGAAGACGACGCACAGGGGAAGGAGCCTGCTCTATTTCAAGTAGAGCAGGCTCAATTAAAAAGTGGAGCAGGCTCTACTTTGTAGTAGAGCCGGCTCTACTTGGTAGTGGAGGCGGCTCCACTTTGTGTGGAGCCGGCCCCCTCAACAGGTTTCAGTTTTTCGCCTTTTCGGTGATGGTTTTGGCTACGGGTTTCAGAATTTGATGTTTTCAGATGCTATTAGGAGCTATGCAGGGATGTTTCAGTAGCATCTAAGTCCTATTAGAAATTCTGAAGGTGTGATGATATATAATAAATTACAAAGAAATCGGTAGATTTAAGCCGTTATAGTTTCAAGTGAACTTGTGGACTGTTCCTGGAGGCAGAGGGTTTTAAGTGCATAACCCTATGAGTTGCAATTTATCTGGGAATGGTAATATTGTTAAATCATCTTTCTGTAATTTAAGTTAAGTTTATTAGATTACAGAATGATTATGTATATTCATAAGTGACAGTAAGACACTTTTAAGGAAGTTTACATGGTTGAAATTTTGTAGATGATTCAAGTTGATTAATTTTAAATTAGCAACTGAATTAGGAGTTTGATATGTAAATCATATATCAGTGGTATGGGATTAAGCCCATTAACTAATATAAATTCAGTTAATACTTAATATGAAACTAGTTGATGTTACCAAGAATCTGTTTATGTCAACTTGTGGGATGTTGTGGAGTAATTACAAGTAAGCATGTATATACTATGGTTATTATTATTATGCTTATTGTGAGTTACAGGATGATTATATTTCTTCTCTGCACTTAAAAATTTGTCAGAGAATCAGGTACTGGATGTATTGAACAAGCATGCTAATTAAACATTCTTGTTATGCTTATGATTGGATATGTTGATATTGATATGTTATGCTATCATATATATATATTATCAATACTGGATGGATGGTTTGTTTGCACCGGTATGGGACGGTGTCATACTAGGGGGATTAGCTCAAAAATGCTAAGTCCTACCTACTCTGGATTAAGGGACGGATTAACTACAAAAGTTAAGTCCTACCTATATTTTGTGTCAGATCAATAAATAATTGAGTGGCACTTTGGTTTGGAATGGAATTTAAATATATTTTTATGATGCCACGATATGAGCCTGAGTCTCAGAGTCGTTGGTTAGGGAGCGTATATGCATTGGGATGCATAGCTGGCTATGATGGTTGGATGTGTACCTTGCTAGGATTAGGTAGTCATGCCCACCTTTGGGTGCGTTTTCGCATGGTGCCGACTAGTCAGGTTGAGACGGGCCTGTAGTCCAGTGAGAGTCCTGTAGTGTGATTATATATATATTTATCTACGAACTATTAGCTATTGTTGGATTGGTTAGGATGTACATGCGTATCGGTCTCTGCTTGGGTAGTAGTAGTATAGAACTTGCATGTGGGCCTGACCCACTCATCATTTTTCAGGTATCGGACATTTCCAGTCTAGAGCTTGTTCATGCTGAGCAGAGACGGTCTTCCATTCTACCGACGACGTAGGACTTCTTTCCAGATATTAGAGTTGGATTTTATCTTTAGATATTACTTTCATTCAGTTTGGGATTTTTATTAGGGGTCCACTAGAGATGGAT